ATTCTTAAGCTGATGAGCATCCCCGGGCATTCAATGCATGTCAGGCCCCGTAGGATGACTTGTGTAAATTATGTAAGTTTAAAAGTACTTACCCTAAGGTGAAACGCGCATCTGTGGACTCACCATAATAATTACCTTGACATGTATATCCGTTTACCTCGATTTCGTAGAGGTTGGTGAGTACAACGTTTATCTGTGTCTTGCCGTCACACAGTGAACGGAAATTAAATGAAGTAATGTAGTGTGTAATGCACCGTCCAGTAGTTTTTAAAAGCAGGTAACTTGGGCGCAGAAATAGCAGAGGTCGAAAGAGCGTCCCACAGCTGACAAATTCGAATAGCAAAATAAATCTGGCATCATTCCAGCCGACTGTATTGAGTGTCCAGTTTCGCCTGGTGGCCACAAATGTTGTGTTGCCGTTGTTTCAGGTGGTGGTGACCAGTGTGCCTGGGGGTTTTCTAGACCTTGCACACCAGAATAAGGAGGCCCCTTATAGGGCGATAACTTCCGTTGTCTATGCGTAGTTACAGCTCACATGTTTTCGTCAGTGATAAAAAGAAAAGTTATTACAGGCGGATGCCAGCAAAAGTTACCTAAGAAACCAGCTACGTAGATAGCAGAACACTGAGAAACAGTCGCCGCGCTTTATTTGGGTCAAATGGTCAGAATCACATAGGGATAATGTGCTATGGAGGGAGCGAGTGGCATCAATGAGACATTCCGATGAATAACTTGAGAATTTCCATTTAAGCACCGGGACTATGGGACCGAAGTTGTGCAACTGGTTGTAGTGATTCATCGTCAAACGTTTACAATCTGATACAAATGTTTTAGGGGTGGTAAACTTGATCTGGTTAGCTCAAACGAAATAGATCAGGTATCAGTCATGTTCACGAACCGACATGCAACCTAACCTACGGTTGTACTGCTTTCAGCTCTAGCGCGACTGACCTCAGCGGCTTACGTTTTTGCAGCCCAGGGTAACTGCAGAGTGTAGATCGATTTCTTCCGAAAACATAAAAATCGATTGTAACAAGCGAATGCAGCTTACCTAGACTATCGCAGGTGCCTTGAGACGTGGGCTTTTCGATTGTAACGGAGGGGGTTTGGAAGTTATACAAAAGGCACGGTTTGTGTCTACCTGATGCTACTTGCCGACAAGGCGAACCAAATTGGTACTGGCAATAGCCCCGGTGCCATCTTGACGTAACGAGTGTGTGAAATGCTCATTGGCGCGCTTGGACAATTGTCGTGCTATTCGCCCGACAAACTTAACGTCACAGGCGTACTCTGATAAACAACCAAGGAAGAGGTCATAATCGATGGGTGTCTCTGCTTCGTGTACTACTGGGCAGAGATGTAGACAACGCGCGTACCGCGGTCACCGATGGACAAATAGATCAAAGCCGCAGGTGACAGCCCTCTAGCCAACACCGTCTTCTCTGCCCTTAAAACTGGCACCTAATTGAGTTTCTCCTAAATGACCTCGGAACTAAATCTGTCAGGCCATTCTTTTGAACAATGAACAATGATTTATCACGGGATAAAAGCAAGTGCTTGACACGTCCCGTAGGATGGTTGCGGTGAATATGATGAAATCAAAATATGTCTGGGTCATCTATCGAACGTCTGCCGAGATGAATACTTTGATAATTAACATCAGTGTAAAATTTAAAATAATAATCGAGCGTAAACGTTCAGAAAGACACTGGGGTGTAGTGATCGTTGAGGTAAGGAGTGAGAAAAGTAAAATATGGTCACTCACTTAGGTCCATTTGATACATACATCCTGTTGAAAAGTATGCTTGGCGTAACCCACAATAGAGGAGTTTAGGTAACAAAATATTGGGAGCTAAGAGCAACATCTAGTCGTTTTTTGAAAACGTCCAAGGTAGGAGAGGATACAACTGAGTCTGGGAGTGCGTTCCAGGGTTGGCAAACCCGAATTCATCATTCAACATTTCGTTAGAATAGATGTTAGGCGCCATCGTTCTGAGACAGCTAATCAAGGTCCTAGCATATCGATTGACAACGAGGCTGGAGAATTTTGTAAACCGTCCGCTCCATGACTTCTTCCTGTAGACATCACCCTGCATGAATTCGCTTAGTCTTCCAGCTAACAGGACGTCGTGAAACGACAAATTGTTTCTTTTCTTTTCACAGATAAACGGTCTTGCTGCTTTGGTATGCTTAACGTGATCGATAACCTTAGCGATGTTGAGTTGCACATCAGACACAACTGGCATTCGTGTAACTATGTTTACATTCGAAGTTGGCTATCTCCAGGTGAATCATTGATACTGCTAGAGTTTACTAGTCACGTCGATTAACTTTCAAGCTTGGTTTAATAAGCTTATCACACGGCCTTTTCTCTTCGGTGCCGCTTGACCATTTCATAGGTGCTACGACAGTCAGGTATCAATAATGGGATGTTTGTCTGCCAGCCGTTCCCATAGTGTATGTCTATGAGAATCTTTCTTTAATGAAAGCCGACAAGTCAGATTAGAACAAACACAGTGAATTTACAGTACTACGGAGAAAAGCGTTGTAACTACAACCTTGGGGAATTCTGAAGATGCCTTTATAACAGTGATCCCCTGAAGTTGGTAACTCCACAGTTTTGTTGTATCGGACCACACGACTGCTTCCACCCACTAACGGTGGTGAGAACGCAGACCAACAGGAACAGATTTCAGGGATTTACTATATCTGCAAATGCTTGGAGCCTACGGGGAGTTTATGATTTCAGAATGTTTTGAATACAAATTGATTTTGTATTCAAAACCAAAAATCAAGATTTAGGGGCCTAGTTTATAGGAAAACGACACCGTTATGTTGCATGACGCGTAAAGGTAAAAGGAAACCCGAGCACGGAAAGTGTGCAAACAGACAAAGCCAATGAGAATTGAACAACTAAGCAAACAGTCAGATACACACAAATAAAGATATTTGGTAGCGTTAGTATCAGAGTTGAACTGTGATCCGCGTCCAGAAAAAACGACCGTAAATAGCCAGGGGGCTAAAGATACGACACGTCAAACACACGTCAATGAATGAACACAATTAACCGAAGGTCTGCAGTCATAAACGTTTACGCAAACATGTCTGAATTATTATGGCCCCTCTAACAGCCTCGGTTAAGCTCACGTGATTGTCGTTGCCAAACCGACATCGGCACGGTTAGTTGAGGGGTTAAATTTGATAGAAGGTCCAAGCTCATAAAGCCCCCGATGGGTATTAGTTGCGCGACTGCACTTTGAGTGCACGCTCTCTTGGTATGCACTCTTGATTTGCGTTGACCTCTGGGTCGGTCGCGGGGATGGCTATCTTAGTGAAACCGGGGCTAGCTAGACTCCTCTGACCACACGATAGGTCAGGACGGATATTCCTGCATAACATAGTATAACGACTAAAACGGTCGTTGAGCTCCACACAATGTTGAACAGATTGGCCAAGATCCGGTAAATCGATTGGTAGACAGGTACTCAAACTCCTGACCGATGGATAAATAAATAACTAAATGGTATATTCTCGATAGAACGAGGCACACCAGTGAAGGCGTGCTAAAATACGTGAACGCGTGATCGGATGAAATATAACTGATATGATCTGAACAAGGTATGGTAACGTTTCAAGGGTAGGAGTAATTCATGCCTGCATATGCTGACTGTGTGAAGGGAGTTCGCATCAGTCGGTCAAAGATCTACTGTGGGTAAGAATTCGATGGCGTTGACACAGTTTGGACGGTGGATACATAAACACAAGTGCACGAAAACAGTAAAAGTCAGCTAAATGAGTACACACACGCACAGGAAACATGCCGTAGTGTCAAACGCATGCGGAGCCGTAACACAGTGAATGGGGATCAGGAGAATATACCGAAATGGAAGCCATGACCGAATAGTTAGTTTGCGTCTCGGTAGCGGGTGCTCGTTTCTCGAATGAATTCGCTGAGGTCACACTCTGAACACGACGAATGATCCGCCCATGCGGTGAAGTTTGGATCACTGTTTGGCTTAACGAGTATGTCCTTCTCAAGCGTATGTAAGCGCTTCTCCAGCGATATCGATTTGTGGAGCTGGGTAACAGTAGAATGCATCGTGTGTTGTGGTGGAAATTGGTCAGCAATAAAGAAAATTACATACACTATGGCTTTCCGTTAGTATTTCTCAACCACCACGGGGAAAATTGTTAGATGGACTCAAACATGATAGCCACTCCTCATTTCATGTGATTGGTTGATTGACCCACTGATCTTTGTGTATTTTGATAGCTCACGCTTAGCAGTTTTTCAAGACAGCTGGTCCGAGCGTGGTGTGTTGTTGCTTCGGTTCGGAGTAGGTTGCGTTTAGCAGCCAGGCGTTATAATAAAAATCCACATTGTCTGATGATCGATACTCGAACTGCGATGCATTTAATAGGCTGTGGCCCAAATTAAGACTGTCGGTCGCATTCAAGTACACGGTTGGTATCCCAAAACCCAACGGGTAAGTGGTGTACTAGATTAAGGAGATCCTGATGCTACCATGGGACAACGAACCTGGACGCTCGTCAAGCGAAGGCCAGTTTCGTCCCTGAAGACCTGACGTGACCTGACTTAACAAAACACTGGTTCCGTACCAAGCACCCTGATGTCGGAGTATTTATGGAAAAGAGGTGGAACCTACCGGAAGTTTACATGGACTGAGGAAAGACTTGTTCTGCATTTGCCGTTCTTTATCTGTTTGGGCGAATGAACATAAAGTTGTTGGTAATTGTAGACTTAGAACGCAGCGAGCTCCCTGATCCATTGAGTGCTCATTAGTGTGTTACATATTCAAGGAAGCTGTTTAGGTAGTAGTCCTGTGGCTCATCCCCCTAATTCTACTAGGACGAACACTACAACACCAAAGAAATGTTGAATTAAAAACATAACGCCAACATGATTTAGGCCATGACATTATGGTATGAACCGTATTTCTCTTCATGCTCGGTTACAACGCATCCCCGTCTTCTTTCAGTTGTGTCGATGATGTGCGTTACATGGTCGCTGGACCGACTGATCTGCTGCTACGTTGGCGATTGGGAGATGCAGCGATCGAGGCACTGAAGCAGAACGAACCAAGTCGCTTCACTGAGTCCTCATTCACTGACAGAGTGCATTTTAGCGTCGAGGTTCGCACCGCGTACACCGGCGACTGGTCCCCATTGGTGGAGCGGATCAAAGGAGACCTGACCGCCAAGGCCTTACTACGGGATTTGGTCTATTTGGACAAGGATATCTCATGCAGAGTCGTTGCATTCTTAGATAATCAGCGCACAGTGCCCAGTCGTCCAATTAGATTGAACATAAAAACGGGTAAGTCAAAGATTCAATACAACTTCTGTTATGGCAAATATTTCATTCTTTTCATGTATGAGAGTGGTAGCCGCCAGCCTAAGAAATGGAGCTAGCTTGCACTTACCTGTGAACCACATCTATCATGTGTACAAAGGAGGTAAGTGCTTTTTTAGTGTCTTAAGTTCAAATGCACCATGCTCGTGACCTTCCACGAAGTCTTACACACTAGCCAGAGCTACGAACTGAATCTCCTCTACGCATTCCGTGAGGCGTCCAAAACGTTCCTCAGCTCAGCTACTGCTCACAGTAGGACATAAACTCACAAGCGTGTCTAGTGCGCTGTAAAACTTGCTTAACAAAGTAGTCCTAAGCCGTGTGCAATCTGCTTGCAGATTCTTAGGTAGTAGCATGGGGTTTTTGGGAGAGTAAGGTGAGTAAGGTCAGTTCCTCACACGCGTTCGCAAGCGCGGACAGGCAGCCACACGCAATCACACCAAGCCGCGTATCTGCCACAGTGCGTTCAATCAGGCGATCGACGGAGTGAGCGAGTGAGCTTTTAAGGCAGCTGATTGTACCGGAACTGCGGAATCGCGAATAGAACACTGGTGTGTTGATCCAGTTGTCTTCTTTCTTTTGACGCGGCTGGGAGATCCAGGCATGCAACATGGTTTCTAGTGATTTCGAGAAAGCTGATGGCAGTCAGACTTAAGCAGATATTGACCACACGACCGGAAAAGCTTTGAGCAGCCGTTTCGAACTATTGGTACCTGTATCCCACTGAATTCGAAGCCGCGACTTTCCTCCAGGGGTCAGCAACTTGAGTCATGGGTGGCGGTAGGTTACCGCAATGACTGGCAATATAAGGCGACTAGTCCTCCACTGCCACATATGTCGTGAACCTGTAGAAGACAGTTGGACACCTGAACTACGATTTCCTTAAAAACTGCCACGAATCGAGGGGGCACGTCGGCTTCACTTGTGATTACGGATTGTTAAAATGCAGTATGGAGGCTTTAGTGTATTGACAAAGTTCTCAGCATCGAGACTCAGTCAGAGAGTCACCGCACACGTGTAAAGGCACTGAGCAGACATTTCGTTTTAGTAGAACTCACCGGCAGTGCGTGTCCACGGAATCCTGTTACATTCGGACCCATAGCTTACTCTTTGAATAGACGTGAGTGACGTCAATGAAACACTTTTGTGTTGCTTTCCATGCTGTTGGGGATGGATGCTACTAGGTGTCGGCACCGCATGCAATTGCTCACGTGTGCCTGATCGGACTAACAAATCCGAACCCCACACGTGACCGACTAGGGAAGCATAAGTACGGGGCCAGTACGTAATGAATGCTATGTCGCAAAAATATGGAGTTGGTTTTGGTTAGTATGACGCCCCCAGTAGGGCAACACCTTTTCGTTTTATCAGCAACGTGCGCACTAGTGCACAGAATGATGGGTTGAAGCAATAACACAAACGCAAGATCAGGTCTTTAGTGTCCCCAATATCGGCTCGCACTAAAAGAGGCGATGTGCCGGTTTTTCGATGTTTGCTGCATAAGGAATTTTCAGAGTTTTCTCCACGCCACTGTAACCCCGTGTGACTACATAGTGGTGAAATTAAGCAAAAATATGGTTAATGAACACATTGTACCAACTTTTTCCATCCCTAGATGGTGTTGTGAATTCGCTTCGTTGCTCGGCACATATCGTATCAGCGGACTTTTTGCTGAAAGAAGCACTTTTCTGTTGCACTGATGTACTGAGGCACAGGTTACACATAAGGTATAGATCGCTGGAATATTTCACTGGTACCAGCAAGCATTAGATTTGCAAGGACCACACCAGTGGCAATGTTCATCATCTGGTGGACCGTGCGTGTAGTCGGTAGAATATGGACTTTCAGCGGTCTGCTTTCGTTGACATGTTCTGGTCGATAGCAAGTGTGGGTTGAGTGAATGTGGTACATTCTCTGCTGCATTAGTGATTAATGGCTACCGTTTTAAACAACGCGATGTATTCTGCATAAAGAAAGATCTTCCGGAGAGAATTCGCCTGACGGAACTTAGTTTGTAAGCGATCGATTAGGTGAAAGGATGTCAACTGCCATGTTACTTCGTTTTTCTGTTGCTTAAAAGCCAGTTCGTTTGCTTGCGATGTACTAACTGTGGGATGGAATGCTGTCGTTCCCTGAGCTACATCTGCGCTCGATTCATTATCTACATGACCGTTTGGTTCTACCGATTTAGATGCGCGTACTTCAGTTTACCAGTGGAATACTAGACTAGTAACAGACAAAAATGCGAATGGTTAACAGTCTCCGCAGTTGACCAGCGGGATCAAAAAAGGAGTGTAACAAAAATAGTAACACGTAATCCGTGAACTCACCGTGATTTTAAGATGTGCACACACTTCAGATGAGTTATCCCGTGTCCCAACAACTTGGTTACATCATATAATGCCGGTGATATAATGCATCATCACCTAGAGTTCTGAATCCATTCAACTTTGGAGCAGAGACGACAGAATGCAGAAGAATCTTATACCCCTGGGATACACGAATGGAGTAATAGTTTCGGCAGCATTCCAGCCGCCTATGCTGTGTCACCAACTTCAAATAAAGGACTTTCTGTGAGGTGTTATGAGTGAGTTTCAATATGGGTGGTTCGAATCCTTTATGTTCTGCTACACAAACATGAGATCCTCCCACAGAAGACGATATTGTTCATTGAAAACTGTCAGAGTCTTTAGACTACACTGGTAAGGGAGGTGGAGCGATCCCTTAACACTATTCTTTGCCCTCCGTTGTGGCTTCGCAACAGCAACGAGGTCATGTTTTTGCCAGCAGTGCCACAATCGAATGGCGCATTCTATGTGTGTTCTTACGTAAACGTTGAGCATTTGCGAAAGAAAGGTGGTATCAAAGCAGGCAAACGTCCTCCTCAGTAGGCCCAAGTGTTGGCTGGCATTTTCACTGATTTCTCAACGTGTATTGAGCATCCGAGATCGTTCTGCACGATCACCCCACGATCGCTTTCATGAGAAGCGCGCTGCAGACGTGTTCTCCTAGTTAATATTCGCAGGTGATTTGGTGGCATATGCTCAATAGTTTGAACCTGATTGGGTTGAAATCAAGCATGTTCTGCGCCTGTCTAGGAGCTCTCCGGAAATCAAGAAGACTGCCCTGCGTTCACGAAGTCATTTAGTAAAATCACGCTTGAATATTCATAAAGTATGTACACCATTTGCGACAGTATGCTCTACTGGCTCATCCTTATTATTTGCATTATGTCGGTGGCTTCATTTGCATTGGTTTACGCTTGTTCGCAATGTTCCTCTTGTCCAAACTTATCTCGAGCTGCTTTGCTGACTTTCTGGGTAGATTGTATGATTGATTCGGTTGGTCACTCTTCCAGCAGGTCGCCCGATACTTCTCTCGGTCCAATATCACAACAAACTTTGGTTCAACTGCGCACCAAGATGCTCCCCACGAGTACCCGCTTCTTCGCCTTTGCTTTTGGAACCTGCCGGCGCCTGCCTACTCACCTGCACACACAGTGCATGTTTGCTGGTTGTAATTGCAGAGCTAGACGTGGACGTGTGCTGACCATTCGCTGCTCGGCTGACCAATATGCTTCCGATGACATGCTCACTTCTCACCGAGCTGGATTGCACCTGCCAGGTACTCTGCGGGATGCCGAGTGGCGTTCCATTGTCTAGCTGCCTACTGGTACAGTAGCGTTTCCACTCAACGGCGGTTTCAGGCTCCATCACAGTGCCGACCACTCCTAATCCGTGTCGAGATCGCGTTGCGGTGCTATGTTGTCGTCTACATGTTTGTTTACCCACCAAATCTTGAAATCCTCCGCATAGAGTCGAAAGTTTGACGTCAACACCCCCGTGAGGTCGCTTATGAACGCTAAGAATAGCCGTAATTTTACTACCTGGCTTTGGGAGACTCTACACTGAACCTTTTCGGGGTTGAGTGGGGCGCTATGAACTCGCACATTCAATTTGACTCCCTGAGTAATCATCGCTTTGGAGATATGGCTCACTGCGATGGTGCAAACTCACGCCACCTCAGCTAATAGATCGATCTTTACGAAGGACTGATGTACCTGGTAGAGCGAGCACCGTAGCAGTGATTTTATCGTTCGGCCAGTTATCATTATCAGATTCATATGCATCTAGGCCTAAGAAGGTTATAGCTGGGATGATTTGTTATAGTGACCCCGAGCATTGGTGTACAAACGGGAGGGTGCTACGAATCTCAGAAGCAGATCTGAGAGTACGAGCCAATGGCGACACATATGAGGTCGGTAACTAATCATATTTAGCAATTGCTGGTATCGAACCTTGTATCGCTTCATATTGGCTGATGGGATACATACAGCACGAAGTCCCAGTTCCGGTAAGTAGTAGGAAAATTGCTGTTCTCTCAAAGTTGGTCTTGCCCCGTAGTGTTCCGTTTCGGAAATAAGACTTATTGTGGTCACTGTTAGACCCCGGTGACTTTGCTGTCGTGATCACCTGGAATCTGTTGTCGAACATCTTAAGACGTATCGCTGAGAGGAGCTTCTTACGATGCTTGTGCCACGCTTCAAGTGAGTTTTTCGCCATGTGTTTGGAATGGAGCAGAACTTTCATCACCTTTCGACCACATCCATTTTACTTCGATAATGACGATAGTCTTGTAATCGATTTGGTGATCACGTTTGTGATTAAGAACGCCTCGCGAAGGTAAGGTCATTCCTACCTATCATGAGCACATCAGTGAATTGAAACTCCGGAACGACACGCATAAAAATCGATTTTCCGTTCTTTAGATGGTTGTAGTCATCAGGGTTTTGTTTTCTTCACTGAGGCTGGCTCCCAGAGACGTCGGGAAAAATCCAACCGCCACCTGGACCAGTCCCAAGGCGAGTGGCCTGCAAAACACCCGCCACAACCTCGTTTTCTGAGTGTACCGTCACCGGTAACAACCGTGGTTCCCTGTAGTGAGCCAAGTTTGGGCGTCGCACTGTGTACACCATGCTGGCCGGTTTGGCATAGATTCCCATTAGTAGACTGTTTCCGGTCGTCCTGCAGCACATTTCTTATGGGGTTCGCGCTAGATTTAGGAAGGCGGGAACATACAATCGTCAGCCACTTTGAGCCTAGTCTGGAAGCGACCGGTTTATGGTCTGAATTTTTGGTGGAGTGATGGCCCTACGTCTGGCACTTCCGGTACCTTGTGTGATCATGTCAAGTGTAGCCATGGAATTTGCTCCTCGCTGGTGTTCTGCTCCTTGCTCTTGGGCCCAGTTAGTGAACGGGGTAGCCAAGCGATATCAGCGTTGTATAGATCCCGCGAGTTTATTTCCCGCACTCCAGTATTGAAAACAGAAAAGCGGAGCAGCAACAAGATTCGTGATGTCCGAAAAATGATCTGCTTATATAGAAAAGAGCTGAAAGAAGTAGAACAGTCACAGCTGACCTGTGCAACATACACTCGACTGAGTAGGCCACTAAGATGTGATCGAAGTGCCGACGGACCACACAAATCAACGAGAGATAAGCGATGACGTTAAGGTGAGGACAAATAGTAACTAGCGTTTACAGACTACTTACTTCGACTACCAATGAGACTACCAAGACAACGGGTTAACCAAAATTTTGGGGAACATGCACCGTCGAGCAAGATTTTACAGCTACGAGATGCCACGCTACATGTGGCTGAATATACCGTTCCTCCGACCTTTAAGACAGTAAATATAAGGGCAAACGAATAATTGGTCTTGTCCCCTTGACAACACTATACACCACGACTGTTTTCTAATTTATTTGGTCGCATCAGGTAAATGTAGCAGACGTTTGAATCCGGGGCCTTTGTGATGCTGGCCTAAACCCCCGCCGAGACATGATGGTGACGCTTGTCACAAGGGTTAATGATTGATTGGAGGTCATTTTGAAGCCAGAGGGAATACGGCGCTGGTTCTGTAACCCTCATCCGGGCTTGAGCCCTCCCACTGTAGAGCGCCGAAAGTCATTTTGTTCAGTCTGCGAGGATTACCGTCAAGTGCTAGTTATGTTAAGAGTGTCATATCGTGTATGTTCCTAAGTAGATAGCTAACCCAGAATCATCCAACCACTTCCTAGCTGCTGTGTGTTAGGAATAAATGATACCATCAAGTGTCTCATACGATCAAAGCGCAGGAAACAAGTGGCTGCAGCAACTGCGGAGTGACTCGTGAAGTAAGGAAATATAAAGGAATGTAGCTTTTGGGTGTACGATTTAGGATCTCGAAAGAGGATGCGTTTAGCAGCATTCTAGATTGGATAATATATTATTCGTTCTTATCTTCTTTGGGATGTGTATTAAGGTACCTGTCCTCCAAGGTGATCTTATAGATGGCACCACGAACGGAGCGCTCTCAATCGCGAACGACTTTCCTTTGCAGAATCACTGGTCCCCGACTTCTCGACGGTAAAACCACATGTTCATGTGGAATCAGTGGAAGAATATCACATCGGATGTGCCGAGCCTCATTTGCATGACATCTACTCCAGTTACTCGCTATCCATCACCGCTCCTCACGTGCTGCAAAGAGACACGTCTTACGAAATTCAGGTGAGTGGTTCCGCTAAGTACTTGTTTTCCTTTACACCCGTTAAGTGGAAGGTGATTAGTGCCAGTTGACGAGTAGCGGATACACAAAATGTTTTAAATAAATAAAGGCAGTACCATTGGGGCACGAGATAAGGCACTCCCGCCTAAATTGCTCTCAGGCTGGCATGCAATCCAAACGGAAGTAACCCGAAAATCAAGGATTGCCTGACTTCGTATAACTTGTACAAAGTATCGGCTAAAGGAATAAACAAAGCATATCTCCCCATATGGATATATAGATCCTTCAAACATGTTACTTCCTTCACCGGTCCGGTGGCGTTCCCTCCGGCTGATTAGCTAAGATGCTCCAAAACGTTTCGCGTTTATCACAGGTAACTTTTCGACGAAATCCCGTTCGCTACTATTGCATTTCTAGCAAAGTAGTAAAAAAAGTCCAAAATACTGCAAAGAACGCCCAAAATATTGCAAAGAAAGCCCAAAAGTTTGAAAAGAAATTCCAAAATGTTGCAAAACCCTGCGCGATTCGCCAGCCGCTCAGAACCAATCCTCTGACCTTAAGTGTGTTCTCATTGGCCGGATGCCAAGGGTCGGTGCTTTAGTCTGGGGAGGTGAGCGCGCTGCCAGTTGACTGGGTGAGACTTGTGAATGAACCTTAGAGGCATGCACTTCGGCGGTGCAACGGGCTTGTATGCGCCCCCCTCACGTCCGAAACGGTGGATCACAATTGGTCTGAGAGCAATGAACAGCTGGAACATAAGTGCATGACCGAAACCATGTCCGTGATACTAACATCGTCGGCATGCATTCTCGCGTTCGACAGAGTATCTCATCAGACATTCGTGACCGAGTTTTTGGGCGCTTTCGTCAACGGTGATGACTGGCAGCTGGTGGCAACTACGAACAACGTCAAATATCAAACAGCCTACTCCTGGATTTGTCGTTCTCTTGATCAGGAGCCGAGTACTACGCAGGCGCACGGTCGTAAGCGGATTCTGTCGGAGGAAGACGTAGATGACATCCTGGATTGGATTGCAAGGGACTCAACTCTTACGCTACGGGAAATGCGAGTACGAGTACGAGCAGAAATGGACAAGGACATTTCGAAGTCAACAATCGCACGGCACCTGGATGGTGGATTGATAACTATGAAGAACATCTATCAGGTTCCCGAGGGAATGAACAGTGAGCGAACCAAAGGGATACGCAGGGAATTCGTTCAGCAGATTCTGCAAATTGAGAGCGATGGTAAGATTTCATTTGGATTGACGAAGCGACCTTCAACGTTTACTGCAAACGTACTCGTGGTCGGGCGCCCAGAGGAGTAATGGCCTGTTGCAAACTTGCCAACAGTAGAGGCCTCAATTTGCATTTGATCGGTGCACTCACAATGGAAGGGAAAGTGTCGATGACCACCCGGAGAGGCTCATTCACAGGTTCCCTATCTCTCGAATGGCTGCGAAGCTATTTAGACAACCTGAAACGGGAGATGGAGCTCCGGCAGGTTGTCGTCATATGTGATAATGCACCATGTCACACACGACTGGAAGAATTGTCGTCAGTAGATGGATACGAGGAAGTAACCATCCTGAGATTGATCCCATACTCTCGGTTCCTCAATCCGATCGAGAGTGATTGGCAGGTGGTGAAGGTCAGAGTGAAGAATGAGATGAGAGTGCACTACGAGGAACTTCTGGCCGGGGATCCCCAGAAACTCATGACGCAGATGGAATGGAGGTTGCGGTTCCTTGAACGCATTGCTGGAGCAGCCACCAAGGATATCAGCGTTGTGGGTTGTCGTAATGCTATTCGACATATGCGTGTACATTTTCCTAATTGTCTAGCAAAAATGACATGTTTTGATCACCTTGCTGGCCTATTTTTACGTATCTGTTTGTATAGCGCGTCACTGGCAGCGCGTAGACACATGTGAGTATTCACAATGTTCTCAAAATATGTATGCACATACGTAAATTTGTGTGTTCGTAAGGGGTTGAAGCGATATCTGATGTCTAGCGCAAAGGAGTGACACGGGAACGGCTTCCAGTGAGCCATGCCCGAGTGATATATCCAACGTACGGTCCTTTTCGTCCCGGTATTCGCTGCGCCGTACTCTTTCATGACCAACCTGAAATAATGTAGATACAGTTTCTTTGTTGAGAAAGCAAGGATATCTGGAAAACGCATTGTAGGACTAAGCGAACTTGCCGTGTGAAGCAACCGTCAGATGTATCACAGTATGGAACATCAGCGTGGATAGTGGAATAGTAGTGAATAGGAAATTACTGCGCACGTCATGTCAGCCTTTTCCAAGAGTGAGAGGAGCTGATAGATGCTCAGATACGAGTTCGCAAACGTGTCCATTGCCAGACAAGATGTCGTCATTGAATCCGAACGAATGAATCGCGTGTGTAATGGAAACCGTCTCTGTGCGATGTTTGTCCGCTGTACTTGAATGCACTGGCGCGTTAATTCGTTAGCCAATTTGAAGTTGGTCTGTCAAGTTCGGAAGCTGCACTTTAGCTTTTAATGCAACCATTCCTACAGCAAGCCTGATATAATGATAAAACTATACACGTCGCTAATGAAGACACCGTGTCCTATGTGCGGTGGATACCATTGTTAATACTCGTGTAAATGAAACGACATATTCATAGTGAACCCAAGGATCAAGGGTGCGGGCTAGGGAATGCATCATATAGTGAATGTGAACGGCAGTATTATTATTTACGTAACCTTGTGCGTCTAAGATACCTTCAGAGTGGCTAGTTTATAGCTTCCGATGTTCGCACGGCTGCAGTTTGAAAACCCCCAATTGTGAAAAATTTGCGGTTTCGCAAGCTACATTTCCTGAGCTCAGATCGATGGTAGTAATAACTTCAAAATTCCGCTTGTCAGTATCTGGTGTTCTGTCAGTACCACATTTAACAACGTAGAATCATTCCCATAAGCGTTATTAAAGTTGAAGTAACGAATTCTTGCGCAACCAAGTCGTGTTTAGAGATATATGGTCCGTACAAAACCCGGCTGCTTGGCTGTATTTCGCACTTGTACGACAGGCAATGACATTTGTCACCAATTGCACCCAGATTCAAGCGATGATCAGTTATCGTGACACTCGATCATCTTGTCCACGGTATTGGCTCAGTGTAACACTTGGTCAACAGGATAGTCAATTTTTTCGACGGGCGGGGGTTTCAGACACTGGGTGAGCACCGAGAAGACATCCAGGATGATAAAGCAGACAAGGAAAATAGATTCGAAACGGTGACCTTATGATTGCAAGCCAGGCGTGCAGACCACTCGGCCGCCAGGCTTCCCGGTCTCTTTTCAGGTTAGCAACCAGTTTCGCGCTGAAATCTTTTCGAGTCTCCTAGTGTTCGCTATCAGTCGGAACATGTTGGCAAGCATCTATAAGTTCCTGAGACTGCGTACTGACCCAATGTCCAGGTTGGCGATTTGATTTGCCACATTAAGACATACCCGATGCTAACAAAGTCTGACGGATTTTCGACCAGTGATGTCCAGTTGCGTTCGATGAGCGCTTATTCAGCTCGGATGCCAGCGTCTTCAGGTAGTGCACGAAAAGTGGGCATGTAAACTTTTGAACACCAGTATTTTAACAATTCAAATAGCTGCATTCACGACAGCACTCTAGTTAAATCTGTGATTGTTGTTATGTGAAACGAAATATTGAATGGTAATTTCAGTTGTGAGCTTTACAACAGCGAGAGCGGCAGCAATTGTATGTCCGCCACGGACAGCAAAATTAGTTGCTACGCCACTGTATCCACGCCAACTACACCCCCATTTGTTTACGCGCTCTATTGGGTCAAACGAGGGATCATTCGAACAATCAAGACAGTATCCAAGTCGTACTGGACAACATTTCGGGCCTTTCTGGCACGCAAATTAAATTGGGCTTGCTGTAGGAATGGTTGATTTTAAATCTAAAGTACAGCTTCCGAACCGGCTGATGGGGGTTCCGAACCTGACAGACCAACTTCAAATTAGCTAACGAATTAACGCGCCAGTGCATTCAAGTACAGCGGACAAACATCGCACAGAGACGGTTTCCATTACACACGCGATTCATTCGTTCGGATTCAATGACGACATCTTGTCTGGCAATGGACACGTTTGCGAACTCGTATCTGAGCATCTATCAGCTCCTCTCACTCTTGGAAAAGGCTGACATGACGTGCGCAGTAATTTCCTATTCACTACTATTCCACTAACCACGCTGATGTTCCATACTGTGATACATCTGACGGTTGCTTCACACGGCAAGTTCGCTTAGTCCTACAATGCGTTTTCCAGATATCCTTGCTTTCTCAACAAAGAAACTGTATCTACATTATTTCAGGTTGGTCATGAAAGAGTACGGCGCAGCGAATACCGGGACGAAAAGGACCGTACGTTGGATATATCACTCGGGCATGACTCACTGGAAGCCGTTCCCGTGTCACTCCTTTGCGCTAGACATCAGATATCGCTTCAACCCCGTACGAACACACAAACTTACGTATGTGCATACATATTTTGAGAACATTGTGAATACTCACACGTCCCTACGCGCTGCCAGTGACGCGCTATACAAACAGATACGTAAAAATAGGCCAGCAACGTGATCAAAACATGTCATTTTTGCTAGACAATTAGGAAAATGTACACGCATATGTCGAATAGCATTACGACAACCCACAACGCTGATATCCTTGGTGGCTGCTCCAGCAATGCGTTCAAGGAACCGCAACCTCCATTCCATCTGCGTCATGAGTTTCTGGGGATCCCCGGCCAGAAGTTCCTCGTAGTGCACTCTCATCTCATTCTTCACTCTGGCCTTCACCACCTGCCAAACATTCTCGATCAGATGGAGGAACCGAGAGTATGGGATCAATCTCAGGATGGTTACTTCCTCGTATCCATCTACTGACGACAATTCTTCCAGTCGTGTGTGACATGGTGCATTATCACATATGACGACAACCTGCCGGAGCTCC